CCCCAATCACCACCTCATCAGGATCCTCATCAGGATCAGCAGGTTCGGCGGGGAGGGGGGCACATTGAGGAACTTGGCCGCGGGGCAGCAGAGAGAGTAAATCGGTCCTGCCTGCACTACTAGGCTAGAATATTCAGCTTCCCCCAACCATCCCTTTCCCCCTGAAGCTCCCCTGGGATTTCTTTGCTTAAAAATACCCTTATACACTGCCTGGCCAAAAAAAAGTCACCACCTGTATTTAGCTGAGCAAATAAGTCAGAGCCTTCCATTGGATAATAGGTCCACGTTCAGCAATGTTTTATCTGCAAATAATGAGGTCAGCTGCATACCTGAATATACTGAATGATCAGGTTTTCCCATCAGTGGATTTTTTCTTCCCTGATGGCACATTGGGCATATTCCAAGATGACAATGTCAGGATTCATCGGACTCAGATTGTGAAAGAGTGGTTCAGGCAGCATGGGGCATCATTGTCACACATGGATTGGCCACCACAGGGTCCAGACCTTAACCCCATTGAGAATCTTTGGGATGTGCTGGAGAAGACTTTACACAGTGCTCCGACTCTCCCATCATCTCTACAAGATCTTGGTGAAAAATGAATGACACTCTGGATGGAAATAAATGTTGTGACATTGTATAAGCTTATGGAAATAATGCCATGGTGGATGCGTGCTGCAATCAAAGCTAAAGGAGGTCCAACGAAATATTACAGTGTGTGATTTTTTTTGGGACAGGCAATGTACATACCTTGTCTGTGAAGGTTCTCATTCATCCAGGTCATGGTCTATCTGTAAAAAATAAATAATGGCAACTGGACTTTGAAGAAAGGTAGTTGGATGACCAGCGAAACTTCAAGACAAATACAGCAAGTCCAGTTGCCTTGATTTATTTTTTACAGATAGTGCACATACCTTATTTCTTACAGTCTTCGAGGCGGTCTGGTGATGGTCACGGATCCTTCCTCTTTTTCCTCTTGGATTGAGCATTGCACATGTAATGACAGATGTGTGAGCGCTGCTCAGTCCTGTGAACCCAGGCTGTGTAATGATGCACACAACCCAGGAAGTTTGTCCATGACAGTCCAGACCTGCTGGAAGTGTGTTGAGTGATGCTGAGCATTATTCAACCTGGAAGACAAGTGGCACCGGATGTCAGAGTGGTAAGTTTGCAGGGGACAGCGATGGGGATAGTATTTCAATGAACATTGCATTTTTTTTATTTTTTAACAAGTTCAAGGCTATATACTCCCTCTCTCTCTCTTTCTCTCTCTCTCTCTCTCTCTCTCTCTCTCTCTCTCTCTCT